AGAATGCAAATAGTCTTGATTCTATATTTTTAAGTTTATGTCTTTGAGAAGAGCTACTTTATAGGGGGGAAAAAAATACTTTTGAATTTCCATTATATTTCCTTCCTTAAGACTGCTCTTCGTTCACAGACATATCCCAAACCAAAAGTAATTCAGTGCTCTAGAGAAAAAGGTTGGTTTCATCTCCTGGGGCATGGCAGCTTCCCATTGTTTTGCTCTTGAGGGTATGCCTAATGGAACCAAAGTGTTGAGGAGCTGCATTATTCTCTGTTGACATGCTTAATAGTGATTGCTTACTACCTTTGTCTTGGCATGGGCAATGTTTGTGCTTCCAGTGATGAACTGGCTTCAGAAAATTCAGTGAATGAATTTCAAGAAGTCTTCCAAATCCTGGCATCCTTATTTGAACTCTTTCAAACCACTTTAGTCAGAAAATCAAGCTGGAAATTTTGTGCAAAAAGTATTTTTCTGGATTTCTAGCTTTTTGTTGACTTACAACCTAGCAGATGCTGTGAAACTGAAAAATAAAGAAAAAAAGGAAACCTTTTTGAAAATAATTTTCCATCTGGGGTTAGTTCAAAAGCTTTGGAAGGGACTGACTTTCTCTTAATTTTTGCATATGAACAATGTAACAAAGGCAAATTACAGAAGAATTACCATGTCACAATACAGTTTGTATGACTGCCACTGAATTGACCAACACCTGGAACTAAAACAAATAACTTTTTGAGTAGAAAGAATGAGCTCCTCTTGTACTGAAGCTAAGCTTGTGGCTGATTCTGGGTCTAGGAGCAAAATATGGCGCTTGTAATTGCTAACAAATCCTGCCTATGTTCTCTACCTTTGTGCCAGTGTTACTTGTCTATCCTAAATGCTTAAATAAATGCTGGGATTCTGTGAAGTTTACAGAGCACAATTGCGGTAGTCTTCTGGCTTCCAAAAAGAGTTGAGCTAATACTAGTTTCTCACAAGAACTGTAGAGCCCACTGGGTCTGAATTCATCCCAGCACTTGATGGGTGACTGGGTTTCTCCATGGCAACAATTCATTTTGTTTCCACAGGGAACCCTCATGCTTATCTGTAGCAAAAATGGCCTCTCAATGACTGAATACGGTAACTGTTTTCTCTTTGCTTTAGGAGATACCTTGCATCTTTTATTCCCAAGAGGCAATCACTAGAGCAGAGTGGAGAAGTTGGAGATTTTCTTATTCCTTTCACTCCTTTAGGGGCCATAGGGTTAATTTAGCAGAGCATTCTTATCTCCAAACTGTAGCAATGTGTGTTCTTGGCATAATGAATCAGCTGAGTGGCATCAACAAAGAGATTTAGGCAGATAGACAGAAAGATAAATATCTCTTTGTTCTGCCTGCTAAGCAGCGCATTGCTCATCATATTTCAGGTTGACTGTAATTCAGTTTTGTGATTAAATATGCTGCGTGTTTTTTTCCAGTGGTCCTTGTGTTCCTGGCAAACACTTCAAAGCGGACTGGAATGCAAGGAGGGCTTCAGAAATGTCCACAGAAACACTGGCAGTCATGAGACTTTTATCTACTAGACTGAAACCTTGGCTTTGGAGTTTGTCCTTGTCCCCGAACACAAAACCAGAATTCTGTCAAAACTGGGGACTTCTTTGTAGTGTGATCCCCTTGCTCATTTAGATGCATTTTTAACCATTTGATGCTTCTGCACATCGACTGTGTATCCATGTCAAATATTTTTGGCTAACTGTACAAATTATTCAGGCCAGATGCTCTGTGCTACTGTTCTTAAGCTTCCACTGGTTGGCAGAACTGCCCTGGAAGCCAGCAGTGGAGGGTCAGTTCTGGAAGTGTGGGAAACTAAGATGACATTGAGCATTCCCCTATTGCCCATCCCAGCCTCAGCATGCAGAACTGAAACTCTTACAAAGAAAATAGCGTATTAGTGGTGGGTTTGGGGAATGTGATGAAAACAGTATTCCTCTGTCAGATGTCAGGATAAAAATAGGAAGACAGACCAAGCATGAATCAAAGTAGGAAGTACCATCCCTGGGCACTCCTGAAAGCTGCATGGAAGGACAACTTCCATTTCCACTGAATTCTGGCTGTATCCAGGGAGAAGGAAACGGTCTAACAAAAGAATAACAGCAATAGGGTCAAAAGGCATAGGACACTTTACCAGTTATCACACAGTTCATGCATGCTCATTCCAGGAGGGCTGGGTTCTTGCTGCCTACAAATCTGTGCTGTGCTGCTTATATCTGTATGATTCATTGCCACCATCTGTATTTGTGCCAAAGTATAGATAGATACCCATGCAGGTGCATCCCTAGATGGAGAGACCAACAGACACAGACAGGTGGGGAAGCCTCCTTTTTCCATTCTGCCTTCTGGAGATCTTGGCGTACTTCCTCCTTCATTTATTCACTACTTTATTGACTATACAACTGAAAAAATGGAAGAAGAAAAAAAAGAAAAACACTGGCAAAATAAGAGAGCAGAGAAGAAGCAAGGAAATCAGACAGAAAAAACAAAATGGGTTTTTTTTTTGCCCCTTCAGCAAGTAATTCTCATTGCTTCTGATCAAAGTGCTGAGGGAACTATAGTCCTGCCTCTTCTATCTCCTCCTCAAAGAACAAACTATCTCAGCTTCACTTTTTGAAGCAACTGTTTTGATGTTAAAGGTGATAAGTACTACAGAAAACATGAGGGGAAACAAATAGCAAAGTCATTTTGCTTAGCTTCCCCCAGTCCTTGTGGAGCTGGGATCCAAATGTGAAAGTCTGTCTTGAAAGACATGGAAAAAACATCACAAACACATTTAATGAAAATTCTTTTTTTTTTTTAAATAAATTCCCCAAGCAGCTCTACCCACTGTGCTTTCCAATATTTCCCTTGTCCTATCGACGTTGACACAGAAAGCTTAGGCTTCAAGCACTGAATGCTAGGGGATATAAATCCCTAGATCTAGTCCAATTTCATCTGCCTCTGAACAGTTCAGAGAAGCTCTGAGTTTGATCCAAATTGTCCCTACCTTACACTCCCTGACTCTCTTCTTCTTGTCATGTTTTATATACTTATTGACTTTTACAGAGCTTCCTGAGTAATTCTTCAAGGAAGATTGACTGATTTAAGGGGTTAGTCATCTTGCAGGTTAGTAAACATGACAGCTGGTTGAGGATTAACAGGAAATCATGAATAAAATCATTGGGATTGATAAGGGATTCTCAAGCAATTAAAGTTTTCTTGCAGAAAGTCAAATAGAAAAAAATAGAGTGAAGGTCAAAGGAGAAGAATGACCTTCTACATGCTGACAACCACTGAAATACAAGATGTACTGGCAGAGTTAGTGTGAGATGGTTAACAAGGGAATAAAGTGCTAGAAAGGACTGCAGGCCAAGGTGTAGGAGACTGGGCAGAGCTGTGTAGGACTGGAACAGCTGTAGGACCAAGAGGTGAGAGTGGAGGGTGGTATGAAGATGCAGAGCGTGATTAAAATAAGTTGGCCAACTGGTCTGGAGGTGCTGTTGGTCACCTGCCCTGTGGTGCCAACAGTACAGAAAGTTGCAGGACAATACCAGGTAGCATAACTACTATCCAATCCTTTCAGACAAGAGTTTGCTAATGTACGGCAGAGAGCAGGCTCAGGCAACTTCCTTCTCCTTTCTGATACCTCTACTTGATCACTGGGATAGAAGTTTGTTGCCTACTAGCTGCTTCCTGCTTACTCTCTCCATGGCCTCCCTTGTTACTGGTTTTCTTCATGCAGCATCTTTCTGTTCTCTGTCTTGACCTCTAGCTTCTCCTGTCCTGTAAATCCCCACCAATGACTTTAAAGTTCCAGGTGTGAGAGACTCTGGCACTTTGTTTAACGAACTGGAAATGAATTGGAGCCTACTAGCTCTGGAGAACCCATACCAAGAGCCATCTGTTGAGAGCTGCAAACGCTGATTGGTATTCAGGGAGCTGAGCTCCAGTCTTAACGTATGCTACCTGGCCCCTCCGTTGATTACTGAGATCCTGACAGCTTCTAATGTGTGTCACAGCGAGGAATGTCAGGACCAGTCAGGAAAATATGTTTAGGCAGGGTTGGTTTGAAGGGAGGGAGCCTAGAGTCTGGTATGGTTTCATGTTTGTCCTGTGGGGCAGGGCAAGGAAGGCAGCTGGCGAAGGGATGTGTTTTGGAATACTCAGCAGAATTGGTGTTTTATCACAATCTTCTTCTCCTAGTCTAATATCCCGGAGCTGCATCATTAAGGTAACATTGCAGATTTCCCTTTGTATTTTTATAAAGCTTATTTTTAAAAAATGTGTTTATTTTCTTGTTCATGCAGTAAAGCCTTTAAACATTACCTGAATGTGACCTTTAAAATCTCAAAGCCAGAAAGCAACAGAAAAGCCCAAACTGCTGTTGCTCATGTTGGTGATTTGTTAATTTTTAAATACTGTGGGTTTCCACAATCATTTGATTCATGGCTTTCATTATCCAGGTATATGTGGGAATACATTTAGAAGTTAAACATAATTTCCCTGGCTGTGACAGGGTTGTATAGCTACAAGGTTTCTGGATTTGTTGATCTCAGCAAGGTGTTCTCTCAGGACTGAAGTACAGCACTATGTGAAGATTACATGACCTGCTGTCAACCAATCTTTCTATTCTTCAGCTTTTCTCACGCCTCAGGAGCTTCTTTAGTTTCAGAAACTCTTAGGGTGCTGCAATAGGAATTAAGCTTATTAGCACTTGGAAGGAGATATGGGCTCTGCCCTTTCCCTAACCATGGTTTGGTTCATCTGGAGGGTTCTGGAGCCGCCGTTTCCACCTAGACAGGAGAGAGACTGCTTTGTTCTTATGTTTTTATGTATGATTCCAAAAGCCTAGCTCATGCTTAGCAAATAACAACATTCTAAATTAAGAAAAAAATCTTAAATTTTTTTTTTTTACACTGAGACTATAAACAAGAATGATCGGGTGTTAAAGTCTGAGCACTGAGTAGCCACATGATTATCATACGGTGTGAGTAGTGGGAAGAGTTTAACTGAACCTTTTCTCTTTGTTTTCAGAGTCTAACAGCCGACGGGCGGTGAACAGAGGCTACCTGGGTGGATTGCTGAGACTCTATCAAGACTGGCACCACAATGATATCTCCAACAACTACATTCATATTCGTAGGGGACTCCTGCTCTGCTTAAAGCACATCACCAACATCCAGCTGGGCAGGGAGACTTTCCTCGATGCCCGGGGTATGGAGATTCTCTTTACCAGTGTACAGGTAAACGATGCTTTTGTGCTTGAGTGAGATGGATTGGTAGTTAGTGCCAGGTCCTACCTCATGGTGCAGGAAATTCCACAGTTTTACTCTGAATTTATGTAGCACAATAAGGCTAAAGCAAAAAGTATTGACTTTTCCATAGTTAGTACTTCAGAAAAGCTGAAATGTTTCAGTTTAAAACTAACTTTAATTTCTATTGAGCCTCATAGAAATTGTAGTTCAGGCTTTTTAATGCTTTTTTTTTCCTTCCTCCCCTATGATCCTGTTGTCTGCTTGGACTTCCTCTCCTGAAGAACGGGGCAGTGTCTCCTCAGAAGCATTGCTCTAGTGTTTAATGAAATATTTCCTTTCAGGTATCCAGAGTGATGATTCCACATAATCAGTCTTTTCAACAAAAAACAGCATTGATTTAGCCAGGCCTTTGCTAATAAGAAACATCCATCAACTGTTTTTCAGGAGGCCCAACTTTAATCTTGTGAAACATTAATGTGGGTCCATCAAGAAAGGTGATGGGATCCCTGTAAGGTATACAAAGGATGAGTACAGAACATTAATGGTTTCCTCCGAGTCTCTTGACAACATGCCTCCTTAGCCACTTTTGGAGAAACCTTCAGTTCTTGACCCACATGATTCCTCAAGGAGTGTTTCCATTGTTATTCTCACTGGCCAGTGCATTATCTCATCTTAACACTGTCACAGGCAGAATGAAAAACCTGTCCCTTTCTCTACAAAATCTATTACTTACTGATCCAGTGTATTTTTCTTCACCCTTTCCCATTGATTCATAGATTCATAGATTTCTAGGTTGGAAAAGACCTTAGAGATCATCGAGTCCAACCATCCCTAATCCCCATTAAACCATATCCTCAAGTAGCTCATCCACCCTATTCTTAAACACATCCAGGGATGGGGACTCAACCACTTCCCTGGGCAGCCTATTCCAGTGGCTGACAACCCTTTCAGAGAAGAAATACTTCCTAACATCCAACCTGAATCTCCCCTGACTAAGCTTATGCCCATTTCCTCTTGTTCTATCTCCCATCACTAATGTAAAGAGCCCTTCCCCTAACTCCCCACCATCTTTTCTCAAGTATTTATAGGCCGTAAATGATGTTGTGAACAATTGTCCTGTGACTGAAAGATATTTCTTACTACTAGTAGTAGGTGGTAGATTGGTAAAGTTTTTCCACTTCGTTTTCCTCATGAGGAATTGGCCACTTTTGCAGCTGAGATAAGGTGGCCAGGACCAGTAGATCTTTCAATGGAGTATGGCTTTTGTTAATGACAAGTTCCTGGTCTGCAGAAACTTGAATAGAGTGGATGGCAACAGCTGCTTGAGGGTAGATGTCAGCTTGTTCCCTCTGAAGAGCCTTCTACAGCCCATGTTGCTTTCTGAGCTAACATCTCCTGATAGCTCAGCCTGGGAGCAACCCCTTGGAAAGTGCAAACATGGGGTCACCTTGGGTGAACAAACAGGAAATGACACACCAAGACTCCAGTGAACACTGATAACACTAATCCTTCCAAAGGTTAGAAGTGGAGCGGAAACCACAGCTTTGGGGGCCTCCAGTTTGCTTTTCTCCTGCAGTGTGCTACTAGGGAGATCTTGGAAAAGAAACCAAGGTTAATAAATTCAAAGCTCAACATTCCCTCGCTACTTCTTTGGGATATTATCGGTCTTACAGTGACTCTCCAAGACATGAGGTGTCAGGAGGAGTCTGGCAGCCCTAGGAGGAGGTCTCACTCATGCTCTTCCCTACTCTGACCTGAGGGAGAGGCAAATGCTGTTACTAAAATCTTCATAATCTTCATAGTGGACAGAAAATGGGAATCTATTCTTCTGAGAGGAACTGCAGGCAGTGGTAAGAGAGACAGAGACAGTGTGAGACAAACAACTGGTGCTTGGGAAAGCAATGGCTCTTTGTGTACGTAGACAATATTTTAGTGCCTTTAGGAATTTGCTGGCTGTGGTGACTAGCATGGACCAAACTCCGAGCAGCTGAACGAGATTTTAAAGGTGTTAAAAGCTGGCCAGAAAAATTCTACTGAAACTTTTTAAATCTTTTTTTTTTTTCTTAATCTATTGAAATTGAAATAGTTTTGCCAAGATGGGCTTGTTTTAACAGTCTCCAGTGGAGCTCTTGTTTACAAGGCTGGTTTTCAATTGAAATCTCTCCAGCTGCTCATTGTATGGGCTGATGGACAGCTGAAATACTTGAGCTTTTAATAGCCCTTAAGCCTATGTCTTTACAGGAAGAGCCAATAGTTCAAAGACTGACTCCTTACAAAGATTAGAAGTGACTGCTACTTTATTGGAGGAGAATGTAGAGATATTTTGAGTTCTACTTCTACCTGGAATGACAAATAATTTTCAATAATGAAATCATTTGTGAAAAGGAAGCACTTTCTGCTCTCATTTCTTTTTCCAAGATCTGCTTAGGCTTTCATGGCAGTGAAATGATATATTCACGTTAGCAACTGACTGACTCTGTGTGCAGTGTCACAGCACTGCCTACTCTGAGACAAGAAAACAGGCTTGTATTAGCTTTAGGAGAGACTGGTGTATGGAACCTTGTTTTGCTATTATCATTTATCCAACTGATTTCTTAAGCTCACCTGGTATCTCTTCAGCCTTCCTGTACTAGGATCTACTCTAAGATAATATTATCCTTACACTCCTCTCTATCCCTATGCTCTACTCTCCCAGTAGTAGCATCCATTAGCATCATTATCTTTTGCCCCACTGTCATATTGAAACCTCCTTTTTTTGTATACATCACATGTATGATAATATCTATACTATTACAGATTCAGTAGAGAAAAGATTGAGTGTGGAGGCTAAAAAGCAGATCCACTGAATTTAGGTTAGCTTTACACAGGTTTTCTGAGCTAAGGATTCAATCTTTTCCCTCATTCACAACATCCTACTGCAAAATAAATGAGATAGTTTACACAAATACAAAGCAGTCCCCTGTCTATTTCTCAGGTGTCAGTAAAAAAGGCTTTTCCAGTACAATGTTGGAACATTTTTCAGTCATTTTTAAACTGTTGGAATCTGAGAGGGCTTTATGAACAGTAATGAAAACAGTCCTACAAATTCCCTGTAAGGTATCTGAAGGCTTGTTTGCACTTGCAAGCTAATTTACTATAAAGGAAAATATGACTTTCAAACAGCATCATTGAATAACTCGTGTGGAAGTTCATTGGATGAAAATGCCTTGTTCTTGACTATCTCAATTCACTTGGTGAATTAAGATAGCTGGCCCAAGGCAGTCATTTATACAGTCCTATGTTCACTATTCTAGTGAAAACAAAACAGTTTTAGTAAACTATAATAAGACTGTTTAAGAATATCATTCTATTTCCACATGTATAAAAAGTTTCCTTATCTTTCCTTTAATAACAAGCAAACAAAGGCACCCAAACACGATGTGAAGGAGTGAATAAATTGAAAAACTGGAGACAGAAAGCAGTTCTCCTTGGTGTTTGTTCTAACCACAATAAAACTTTCCTTGGAGATGCTTTCCAAATTGTCTTTTCTCTCCCCCTTGTTCCTAACAGCCAGAAATACATATTAAGATTCTTGTAGTGAGTCTTGTAAGCATGTCAGCTTTAGATGATTTTTCTAGCCTCCCTACAGGAATCCTGGTTAATCCCACTGAATCTTATAATGCCATTCAATCATACATGAGAAAACAGAATAAAATCCTGTACAACCAAAATAAAAAACCACCCTCAATACAGCTATTTTCCTGTTCCTGATTATAATAAAGTACTTTTATGTTCTCTGGTCATCTTCTTGGTTCTGCTCAATATTTATTATTGTTTTTGTCCAGCCCAAATCCTAACTGTGGGCTGTCAGACAATGGCACAAAGTATCTATTCTGCCTTCTGGGCTGTTCCATTTTTATCTGTGCTGAAGGGATGCAAAAATATTAAATGGTGTTAGAATGTGTTGTAGTATTCTTTTGCCTTGTAGAACATTCATGCTACTTATTTGACTTGCATTCCTGTTCTGATGAGCTAAGCAATAGACCCAAGCCACTGAAGATAACATGCTGATAAGTACGGTACAACTTGTGAACTTAGATAGGATATGGCACTGATTAGTCATTCTCTCTGATGGAGGCTGTAGTAGAGATGCTCTGTAATCGGAGAAAGCCAAAGGCGTGGTTTTCTGAGCATTGTACCTATTGGTTTGAAACAGCTTCACCTCACAGCAGGTGTAATTTTCTTATCCAAACTCCCTGTCTTTGTTATATTGAAGACATTGGACCTGCTGTGATCTCCCAGCGGGTCTTTGCTTTTAGTAGGGAGTGAGGGGATTGTTCTCTTTGCAGCAGAAGACCACGGAGTTAACTTGCATAGCATGGTAATAAAAATGCAAAAATAATCTGTGTCTTCAAAGTGCATCTGGACTCTCAGCTCCTTACACTTCTGTTTCCTACTCTGGATTATAGAAGTAGAAAACGTGAGATACTGCAGGAATTCAATATTTTATGACTAGGTAATACAGAGCGATCTTTCAGACTAACTGTTTGGCCTAATGCATCACCATATGGAATGGAATACAGTAGGAATGCTTTCTCTGAGTACACATTGTGCATGCTGAGTACAGTGAAATAATGGTGTAACTGTGCTACCTTGCCTGCGTTGGTTTTGGCATGATAGCTCTGGATGTAGTCATGGGGAAGATACAGAAGCACAGATTTTGGCGTGTGTTGGCAGACAAAACATACGTGGGCTCCCTGCAGGACTTTTTTTAAAATCCATATTAAAGAACACACTTCTTCAGTGCTACTGTTACCTGTGTTAGACAGAACGTTGTAATTTATGTTGCTATCGTGCCTTCCTTCAACATACCCTGACTATAATGTCTTAGAGCAGAGCTAGGAGATGCTATGTCTTCTAAATGACATACATCAATGGAAGTTCCCTGAGGTCCATGTAAGCCTGTATTTCTCCAAGAACTTGAAGTCTTGCTGTTCCAGGCATGTTTCTTTATTAGGGTGGGGAGGAAACCCCACAAAAAACCCTAACCAACTAACCAAAACCACCCCCCCAAAAAAAAACCAAAACAACACAACAACACAAAAAAAAAACCCCACCACACCAAAAAAAACCCCAAACTCACACCAAGAGGGAGCAGAAAAAGAAAAGCCATAAATATAAAGATTTCATATTCCAATCAGCCTCTGCTTTGGGAGATTGTGTGTAATAGGCAGGACAATTGTAAGGGACAATTCTTAACATTTTTCTTCTTTGGTTCCTAGGACTGTTTGTCTTGCAAAAATCTGGATCCTATCATAACCACTGTGACTCAGATTCTGAGAAAGTGCTACCCCAAGGAGCTTCTGCCTGTGCCGACAGTAAGAAGTTCCTACTCCTTCCCTCTTCCTGGGAACGCCAAGGCTGAACCTCCCTGTGAGGGACCTGAAGGTAAATGGCTGAAGGGTGATTTCTGTAGGAAGAAAAGGAGCATGACACAAGAATTAAACGTGGGATCTGGGGGAGGGAGTCTTGGCAGCCCAGTCATGAGGTCTACAGTTAGGATTAATCTGATGACCTGCAGTGTCACTCAGATTAAACTGCTCCTAGGTCTTCTCGAAGCCTGGAGATTCTGTTTGGACAATAAATGAAAAGATTAAAAGGAACAAGGAAAAGGCAGAGGAGGAAAATCCTTGTATTATCTAAAAAATAATGGAACAGAGTGAGCGTGACAGAGATTAGAGATGCTGTTTTTCCACAACAACAACAGAGGGAGAGACGGTTGTACCTGTGCCTGGCTGGGTGGTGGTGGGGAACACTGCCCTGCAGCTTTTTCAGTAAAGAATTGCGGGAAGTATTATCTTTTCCTCTTTCTAAAATAAAAGCAGGTAGCAGTCACGCTGCATGAGTAAAAGATGTGAGCACTTGCTGAAAAGCAGAACTTAAGCACAGGCAGGACAGCCACTGCACAGAAAAGAAGAAATGGCAGGCTTCATGATATACACAAGCAATTTCTCTGTTACTTTCAGTTTCATATGGAAGATGCTCAAATTCTATAACAATGATAGCAGTAAAACACCCTAATCTAGATAATATAGAATTAAGAGCATCCTGTAATATCATTGCAGCCAAGCAGAAAATCTCTGTATTACTTTGTAATATGAGTTGGATCCATATCATAGTGACATTTGTCATGGTTTTGAAAGGCAGTGCTCGAGTCCAAGAGAACAGAGCTTTTAAAAGTGGGATATTTAGTGCCAAATTCGTTTATACTAGATTAACAAATGGGATCTGCTTTAATTAGGGCTGTGGTGGGTTGTAGTTCGAAGGCATGTGTGGCATGCATAGAAGAGATTACATGTCTTTCTGTGGAGGGCCTGAGAGGGGTAGTAGGTTGAACATCTTTACCTCTACCTCTTTTCTACTTCTGCAGGTTTCTATGAAAGCGATGGAGAGGAAGAGGCCGAAAAAGACCTGGATAATGAGGATGTGGAGAGTAAGGAGGAAGTAGGTATATGAGACATCATTAATCATCCACATACTGGGAAGCAAAATTTTTCATTGTCCATTTTGACATCCTGATAAGTTGTCTAAGCAGAGAATGTGGATACACATGTGATCCCACATAAATACAGTACATGAATAATAGAGAGATATTTGAAAGAAGAAAAAGAGAAAACACTGACTGTCATTAAAGAGAGTCCCCTGTGTTTATCTTAATAACTGCTGTTCTTGTGACCCAGGATGATGTGGGTTTGGTGACTTCTCAGTTCCTGCAGACACACTGACCTGTGACTACTAGAATCACGTGCACAGTCAGGGATAAATGGTGGATCGTTAGTTCCTCTGGGTGTAGTCCAGAAATGGCACTTAATAAATTATCACCTAGGAAAGGCTAAACTTCTTTTTCTTCCCATATCAGAGTGTGTTTGGGCTGCTCACCTACCCTAAGAAAAAGGTTAGTTCTTTTAAGCCATAGCTGGGCCATTTGAACCTAGATTCCTTCTTTGTCTGCTGCTGCACACAGACAGATAATACAATGAATTATTCAAGACTCTTCTGACTTCTCCCTTTGCACTTGCTCTGTCATGACCTAACTGGCAAGAAAACCAGCACCCTATCAACTAAGGATGAGAGTACAAACTTTTTTGTCATGAAAATACATACAAGTATATACACTATTGTGAAGTAGCAAATGCTACTAAGTCTTATCCATGTAAAGTGGTTTGGGGAAGCAAATTAAAGAAATGAAGTTGCAAATACAGTCTAATTAGATATGATTGAGACTTCTGTGGAAGGGTGTTTTTATCACTCGCTCTGTCTTTCGTTTTCCTCAAGTATTAAACTGATGTCACCCAATGAAAAAAGGAAGTTTAAAACAAAACCCCCACCAAAACCCAAAAAACCAAAACACAACAAACAAACCACAAAAAATCTCCAGCCAACAAAAACCAAAACATATTAGCTCGATGTCCTAACTTACTTCTGACTATTTTTTTATCTGAATATTAGAGCTTATCGAGATGCTCATTGTGAATAAAGTTCATAGTGAATTTATCTCCTCCTTTAATTAGTTATTCATTCAGGAACAGAACCTGTATGCCTCTGAATTATTTTATTATTCATAAAGATTTACCAAGTAGATGTGGGCAGGGAGTTTTGCCTAAGAGCTTGCTCTGAATATGAGTTTTAAGTACTGTCTGTCTGGTGTGCTGGTCACATATCTCCCATGATAAATCTTCCTAAATTAAAAGCAAGCAGGGAATGGATAATGAACTTTCAGTTTATCTTTGTGCAAGTGATATCTCATACAAAAACGTTTCCTGGTATTAATGTGATTTACAAACATTTTCACAGCTACGTAACACATAACTATACATAATAGTAGTACCAACCAAACTGAAACCTGGCTCTATGCTTCCATCAGTAACTGTTCAGACAGTTCTATGAAAATCAGAATCATCACTTCAACAGTTGCTTCTACATCATTGTACTGTTAATGGCAAATTCTTTTAAACTGACCTCAAATACTCTGTGCAGCTCTTCATTGCATTTTCAACTAGGCCTAAACAGCAGTTCAAACTCTGCTTTGTGATGCAAGTGTGGCTCAGAGTTTGAAATGCCATGGATGCTTTTGCATTCTGGCAATTTTTTTTTTTTTATTCTTTTGATATCAGCTTCAGAAATTAGTCTATTAGGAGCAAATCACTTCCTTGCTGGCATTTGGTGGAACATACTAATAACATGTTGAATTATTTAAATAATGCTGTAGTGTAATGGCCAGTCATCAGTGCTAGGTCTCCATCCTTCCTTCTTGCCCCATCTTTTCCTGGTTTCTTATGCAATGACTGAATGCTTGGCATAGTTCAGTTTTGGTTCTCGTATCTGGTATGGAGGAGGTTGCATATCAATGGACAGTCTCCTTCAACTGTGAAAGTTTCAGATATAATTCTTATCCCTGATTCGTTGATAGTAGAGATCTAAAAAGCTTTTTCTCAAATAAAAATATCAAGAAAGTTGGAGAGCATAGAAGATGGATTGAGTAAGAGTTTCACAGATTTTCATAAGCAACATTGAGAGATAAAATATAAGCAATTGATGCCTGCAAGTTCAATGATACAGATGTAGGTCTTTTTGCTTGATTGGTAGACTCTCAGAGAAACCATGTGGTTTCTAAATCAAAGGTAGACGTGTCAAGCTTTCTAACTTTGCTGATAGCCTGTAAGGCCAATTTTGCCTTCAATATTCTTTGAGAATTCTCTTGCTAATATATGTTTATTTGAGTACAGTTTCTGTGCATCAGAATATTACTGATTATATCTTGAGGACCTGTCCCTACTGCTTTACACAACATATGCAGTGGAATGGTAAATAGGCTCAGAAATAACTAGTAGTTGCTCATGTCTCTTATTTTGAAACCTCCCAGGCTGAGCTGCTTATAAAAAGGTTCAAGTTTCAGTTTTCATACTTTTTTGAAACCATCTTTTCATGGTATCTCTACTTAGGTACTCAAATACCAAAATATCAAATTTCCCTTTTGCCTCTTGTGCCTCTAGTTTCCATTCCGTAAAATGACTTTAATAGCCTTCCTGTGTGTGGGAAGAACAGTTACAGGAGTATGGTATCATTAAAAAATTAAGGGTGTTATGCAGAATACTACTTTAACAGCCATCTTGTTTAATACACGTGCTTTTCTAATTCTGCTCTTGTAGGATTATGACTTGGAGACAGATGTGAACAAACTGAGGTCAAGGCCAGACCTTGACCGTCCAGAGGAAGAGCTTGGACAATATGAAGCAATGTGTCCAGAACTTTCCCAGAACTTTCAGGTACTATCATAGTGTGACTTCCTTAATTTGTGAATATTCAAGAAATACTTGAAAGGGAGTATTGACAAGACATAACTGGACAAGGTTATTGCAAAAGGAAATTTAGATGTCTTTTAGGACTGGAAAAACAAAGATTAAGACTTTTTGTTATAGTTTATTAGTGTGAATTGAGTGATAGAAAGAGAGTGATGTTTGGTGCACGTTCGGCTGGGTATGGGTTAACTAAACACTTTTGAACCAATTGGCACATGAGAAATCTGCCACGTAAGAATATGTATCCTTGCTGTCAATTTCAATGGCGATATCAAGATCAGAATGAGATGTGGAAAGTAAATACTGTCAACTAGTGTTTCGAAGGAAGTGATGGAGAAGATTGTACTGCTGCTGAGTGAAATGCACTGTTCAAATCATTGTTCTGTTGCAGTTTGGGACGAGAAATGAAGAGGAGTATTACACTCGTTACAAGTCTTGGAATTTAGTAGAGCAGAACGCTGTGATTCAAATATGAGTCTGGAAAGGACTATGAGCGTAATGCATCTCCTGTGTACACGATGCTGTGGCATTTATCATGACCATAAGTAGACAAATGGAATTAGTTTATACACTTGCATGAAGGCATGGGTGGAGTTTTGCGTGACAGATTGGCCTTCTTTACCCTGCTGTAACATTTATATTAAAAAAAAAATGTGAGTTATCTTCCCTAATTTGTTAGAACAATCAGTTTTTGTTGGAGATGACTCACCCAGATGACTCAATCTGATCCTTTTAGTTCTGAAGGCTACTGTTGAAACAGCTTTGTGGATAGGGAGATTCTAGCAGGTGGTCCATGGACTGATTTTACTCTGTTTTATTGGATGAGCACAGTTTTGGGAGATCTGTAAATATTTTCTCTTTCTATCCTTGAAAGGTTTCCTCTGGAAGGAGGCACAATCTATCTTTAGTTTCTTTTAATTTCTTCTGCTTTTTAAATTTAAAGGAGCTTGAATCAGAATCTGAGGAAGAGAAGAGCTTGGAGGACAGGACTGAGAATCTTCCCTCTATTCCCTCTCATTTCATTCCAAGTGCTACTTTTATGAAACATCCAAACTACAGATGGAGAAAGGAAAGTGTCACAGAGATGGGATCAGATCCAGGGGAAAAGGATTTCAAAGTCGCACTGCAGAGCTGGACAAAGAAGGAGAAATGCAGATGGGATCAGATGGATGAAAAGAGAGACATTGCAGCATCAGCCCAAGATGCAAACTCCTGTGAAGAGGAAGATCCAGCCAGGAGTCGCGTACTTACTTTACGTCCTCTTCTAAAAGATGCTGCTTGGTACAAAGAAATGTTTTACTCTGAAAGTGAGGCCTCAACCAATCCTAATCCTGGAGGGAGGCTGGAGAACTCAGACATAGTGACAAATCTTCTGGAGAAACACCAAGACCATATCCCGTTCCACAGCCCTCACTTCTACATAGCTAGGGCCAAATGTGTTAAGTCCATACCAGACTACAAAGACGTAGCATTCCCTGATTTCTGGGGTCACCAGCCACCTCCTTACAGCACGCCCATGTTGGAGCGCAGATCTGGGGTTCAAAGGTGATTGTGCTTTAATGTAATTACAATACTGAGAGCTCTCAGGCTCAAAACTGGTTTATGTATGTTCTGATATCGCATCTCTGACTACTTAAGAAGTTATAGAACAAATTTTGGGCTATCCAGTGATTTGTTGCAAGGCAGCAGGCCAAAACAGCAGAATGATTTTATTTAGGTTTTCCTCCTGAGGAATGGACGATGGTATCTAACTGGATTACAAACAGGATTAGGAATCAGCAGGCTTCTTTCCTATCTCTGACGTGGAGTTTCTGTGTGTCAGTGGGTGAATCGTGAACTGTCTGTGAGTTGCTTTCTTTGTCTCGTATGTGAAGGCGGTAGTAGCAACCTCGGAGTGAGATTTTTATGGCTTCTATGAATCTATAAAGACTCTCCTATCCCATATTTCAAATTGTTATTGATTAAACTAGTTATTGATAAATGTATCAATGTACCTACGTATGTGATGGGACTCTAAGCTGGTCAAAGCTCTGACACAGATTTACTAATGGCTTTTCCTTAAAGTAAGCAGACCATGACCCAGAAGGAGCTGTGAATCTGTGACCTTGTCAGAACACAAGTGAGAACAAGTTCATTTAGAGACAGAGAAGACTCTATGTCCTTTCGGGATATGTTTTTGCCTTGAGTTTTGCTCTTAATCCAGTCACCTTTAGTCCTTGCAACAACGAGTCCCATCTGACTTTTTTAAGAAAAATCCTTTCTCTCCTCTGGTATCTGCGTGTCTGTGTCAGGTTGTTCTTGGGAATCTCCCTGTTTATCCTTCCACTGCTGTGTCCCTTCTCGCTATCTCTCTCATTCTCTGCCTGCTCCATGGGATCCTCCAGAATCTTCTCCTTCCCTAGCATGTGCCTCTGCTTCTGGGAAGCCTGTCATGAGCCAGAGCGCAGCAGCGGGGACAAGCTAAGCAGGCTGCTTTCCCTCCCTGCTGCCCAGCCTGCTAGAAGACAGCATACATGGTGTGCAACATAAGGAAAAAAAATAGAAATCTCCCCTCTGGCACACTGCTAGAGGCTGCTGTTTTTCTCTTGTTATTTCACGTGCTCAGGTGAGGGGGAAACTGTGTTTTGAAGCTGTACGAGGAGAAGCAACTCTTCTTATAACTACCATTTTGTCATGTTCCACGCGTGGCTGTGTGCAATGATGGTTTTTTTGGCCGCATAGGGAATTATTATTAGCAGATACCAAAGAGGCTGGATTCTGTGTTAAACTTTAAAGTGGATCAACGCTAATCAAATGGCGTTTGTGGAGGCCACTAACTTCTGACCTCTAGAGAGATAATGATTCTTTCTGCAGCAAATACAAAAGTTAAAAATCTTATTTAGAGGCAAAATCACTCTACCATCTTCTCCTTGCACTGTTGCCCTAAAGGCTTTGTTTTTATGACTATAATAACATGTGTAACCATACAGCTAAAATGGGAATAATCATATCATGCTTCAGGGCATAACACGATTGCTGCAAAGGTCAGGAAGAAAATCTGGTGTTGCACATTTGATCATCTTTAGGGATCAGAGAACTTCAGTTTAATAATGGGTAGAAATTAGCTTGATTTAGAGTCAGGATTCACTGAGACAGACTAGTAGATTTATAAGTTATGGCAGGTATTTCCTCACAGGGCAAGGCTATCCATTTGGGAGATTGACATTGACTGGGAAGAACTGGGGATAAAACAAACTTGACAGAATACCGTAGAGAATAAAAATTGTACAGAACCAATCATTTAATTCAAACGGCAATTTCCATTAGGAATGGAGCAGGAGCTTTCTTATGGTTAAAAAAAAAATAATATATACACACACAAAAAAAGAAAACCACCTTGAATTAACATATGGAATTCCTCTTTCTTACTGGTCCTTCAAAAGATTTCCTAAGTCTCTTCATATTTCTTCTACAAGCTTTCCCTATACTGAGATTTCTCACAGTGTCATTACAATTTGCTCTTTTATTTTTTCCCAGGGAAAAAGTACTAGATGATGTTCGCCGCTTAATCCAGCCGGGCGATGTGATAGGCAGAACGGTTTTCGATTTAGACGAGCCCAGGTGGGTAACTTGAACTGAGTACAGTAACCAGGGGCACTGCCAGTGCTGGGTGAGGTAGCGAGCTCAGTTTACTTGTTCAGCTCTGATAAAAGTATACAAGAAATAATCTAGGAGGTAAAGGCCCAACAGGAAAAATATACAGGAGGAATAGATTCCTAGAGTGTGGCTCTGGGGAAAGGATTTGTTGTGGAAGTCACTGGAGCAAGAGACCCTCAAAACTTACAGACAGAACAAGAAAATACGTACGTCAAAGGGACTGCATGGTGTCCCTGAATACGTCTGAGTTGCATGTCGTGATTTGGAACAGAAGCATGCAGGCTAATGCTGGGAATTGTACCTGTGAATCCAGATGCGGTCTCTCCGCATCCTGAAGCCACACGTCCTATTGAGAGTGCACTTGAACGTCTGTACAGCCGGCGGCACAGGCTGTAGATGTACCCTGAAAGGTTTGGCACTTACAAAAGGCTTCTGAAAACGTAAAACGTTCTTAAAACAGCCTTGTGAACAGTTTTAAGTGCTCAACTATGGCCAGCAGTTGTGGTCTTTGAGAAGATGTAGCACAGGGCAGTTGAGAGGGTCCCAAATTTGAAGAAATTGCATTCAGAGGAAGGATGAGTGACTCAGAATCTTTTTTAAAGGAAAAAAGGTGAAGGACAGTCTTGAGGTAGGAGAAAGCTGTGAAGTTGTTCAAGATGAATTCAACAGTTTCTAACCTTTAGATAAAGAAATTATATAGATGAGGGAAGAGTAAATATATAGTGATTGTATAAAACTGCCTTGTGCAACTAATTAATGAGTAACTCGGTGGGGAAAGTAATTAGAATAAAGAAAATGAATATGAACTGGGACAAAAGGGAGTATTAGGAAAGTAAAAGAAGATATGATTTAGAATCACTAAGAAACAGTAGAGAAGAATGCTGCATTGGGTAGGAAGATTATGGATTTGCTCACCTCTTACTACTTCTTAGTTTCTTGCTTATAAAGAAAAAACTGTAAAGTCCTATATTAGCGTACAAAAGGTGCTAGGGAAGGCTTGTCTTTGAAGCAACCTGCTGTAGGTATCCTTGCTTTGATTCATTGCAGTCACTCAAGCCCAAGTGCTCCAGGCTGTCTGACATTCTTCTCCAAGTTTGAATCGGGAAACCTTCGCAAAGCCATCCAAGTGCGTGAGTAAGTATGCCTGCAGTGGCTGTGTCCCAGCCAGCCTTTCTGCTGCGACCACAGCGTGAAATGCTGGAGTTCTCCTTGGTTTGGAAAGGATTGGCCAGGGAAGCAGGTCATATAATGCAGAGCTTATCGTGCCTGCCAATACCTAGATGTCATGAAAGTAATGGGAGTGAGGAAACAGAGCTCAAAATGTTTTGACATGACTAACAGAACGTGGATGTTTAACGGTGTGTTTGGGCACCACTAGTTTGATGGTGTTCTTTGACTGTCCTGGGATATTAACGAATTTGATTGCACAGCTTGCTCTCCTCAGCACGTTCAGTGGCAGATTGGTGAGGTGTTTGTGGTCACTGTTTTTTCTGGTCTTTCTTTGCAGGTTTGAGTATGACTTAATTATGAATGCAGATGTGAACGGCAACCAGCATCACCAATGGTTCTACTTTGAAGTCCGCGACATGAAATTAGCAGCTTCCTATCGCTTCAATATTATCAACTGTGAGAAGTTCAATAGCCAATTTAATTATGGTATGAGTTTTTGGGGAATTGACGTAGTCTTCTGTTCGCAATAATGTCATTTTAATGCCATAAAAGTTTTGAACTTTCCATGTCTATAAGTATAAGGGAGATTGTAAGTTTAATCTTATCTGCCCCGAAATCCACTAAAAGAATTGCCTTAGATTTGTCAAAGGACCCTTCTCTGTCCTCAGGAGGACTGAGGAGTGAGCTGAATATTGAGACCTAGGAAAGGATTTGTGGGGAAAAATATGTCATTGCTCAGTTTTTAGAGACCAGAACTGAGGAAGAATGGCACTGGGGTTGGGATAGAGGGGGAAAAAAAGGATAATCTCTTGGAATTGAATGAGCAGCATAGGATTGGAAAGTACTTCTAAGATTTTAATAAATGTAGATAATCGTCAAACCAAATATTTATGATTCTTTGGGCTTATCCAGAAGGACATCTCTGACTTTAGACCTGCTGAGACTTCTGCTGATACTAATGAAAATTCTGTTCCTGGCTCTTTTTGAGCTCCTGTCATAGTCTATGGTTCAGGAGGAAGGTGCCATTGCTCAGAAATAGGCAGGGCAAATCCCAGTGTTCGATGATCATTTTAGAAGAGAAATTATTTCTTCTGCTTGGAGACTGTGGGTTGAATTCTTAGCTGGTATAGGCTAGGGTTTTTTTATTTGTTTCCATGGAGCTGTCTTAATTTACACCAGCTAAAAACCTGACACAGAGTGTTTAATAAACCCCTAATATCAGACTTTACATTCCTCTGAAGCCCTGTGGATACAGCCTTCGACATCACCAGGAAAACTTTCTCAGGATCAATGTACCTAAAACAAATAGCACTAGGAGCTGGAATGACTTGTCATTTGTGTTTGTGAAACTGCCTGAACGAGTGGCGTAATGAATTATAAAGCGTTTGCTCTTTAACCCTAAGGGCTGGAGTTCAAGTATTAATATAGATCCCAAATGAAAATTAATTTTTGTCATCTTATTCTGAATTACCAAACGATTCAGTGTAGTGTGTGTTTCAGGCTGGTAGCAGCCTGAAAATGAAATACGTTGAGGTCCTACTTTAAAATCTCAATCCAACTTCTGATACAGACACTAGCAGCTTCACAGCTAGAGATTCTGGCTATTATTGGTGGAAGGTTATTTTTTATCTGCTAGTTTGGCTGTTGTCAGCATTTATAATCTCATTTTGTGCACCTGAAATTGTACATGACTCGCATGTTCAAGCATGCAATGAAAAATATGTTTGGAAGGAAAATGTGAAACTGCCATCCGGTTTAAGGAGGGAGGCTAAGCCATGGGTTGTACGTGGGGCTGGCTGTTAGAGCAGCAGAAATAACACACAGAAGAATTGTTTGGAGAGAGCAGTGAAGCTCTAGCTTATCTGGCTTGGCTGAGCAAGGCTCACTGCCCCTTCCAGCACATACGTGATATTTACACAGACTGTTGGTAAGAGATGTTGTTTATTCACTACATTCCCTCTGTGCTTTCCTGGGCTGATGCCCGTCACGTAATACTAAAAGCTTCCTGTTGTCATGTAATGCCAAAGTGCCATGGGTGATAATACTTTACAGCTCCTGGTTACTGATCTGTTTTGATTTTACCCCTTTCCTTTTGCCTTTGGTTAGAATCATAGAATCATAGAATGGTTAGGGCTGGAAGGGACCTTCAAAGGTCATCTAGTCCAACCCCCCTGCAAGGAACAGGGATATCTCCAACTAGATCAGGTTGCTCAGGGCCTTGTCCAACCTGGCCTTGAACGTCTCCAGGGATGGAGCATCCACCACCTCTCTGGGCAACCTGTTCCAGTGTTCTACCACTCTCATAGTAAAAAATTTTTTCCTAATATCCAACCTGAACCTACCTCCCTCTATTTTAAAACCATTACCCCTTGTCCTATCATAACTGGCCCTCCTGAACAGCCTCTACCCATCTTTCCTGTAGGCCCCCTTGAGGTACTGGAAGACCGCTATAAGGTCACCCCGGAGCCTCCTCTTCTCCAGGCTGAAGAGCCCCAACTCTTTCAGCCTATCCTCATAGGAAAGGTGCTCCAGGCCTCTTATCATCTTCGTGGCCCTCCTCTGGACCCTCTCCAACTGGTCCATGTCCTTCTTATGTTGGGGACTCCAGAACTGGACGCAGTACTCCAAGTGAGGTCTCACGAGGGCAGAGTAGAGGGGGAGAAAGTTAGATGGCACTGTGTAACTTTCAACCCAGCAAAAAGGATATTTAATGAAATAGTTGTGACCAGGAGCAGAGCAAGTCAGGAGGTACAGCCTCTACCTCTCCCCTTCTCCCTCTCTTCCTCTAACTTATTCTACCATGGGAAATAATGAGATTTCATCAGAAGTCTGATCTGTGTATGTTTTCTAAAACTGAATGTTTCCATAGGGAAGGTGGAAACGAAAACTGGGTTTTCAATTTGATTTTTTTTTTTAAATTAAAATGAGATGGCAGACCAGCATCAGCTATAGATCTGAGGCACTTTGTTGTGTGTGTCCTTTGGACTAACAGGGAAGGGCAGGAGCTGGAGTTTAGGATGTTGAAAGCACTGCAGACCCTGAGCCTCACATCCCTTGTCTGATGAACTGGGCTTCTGGGCAAGCCTGTGTCTCAGAACTCACTGTGGTCTGTGTCCTGGAACCAAAGACAATTGCTTCTTGTATGTGGCTCACAGTTCTGGATCAGGAAACAGCAATATAGAGGCTACTCTGAGCTGTAGGCTGGTTAGTGCTACCCCACACTACAGCCAAAGGTGAGCTGGGAACGTGTTTCTGCTGGTACACTTGCCAGCTCTTAAAGTGCTGGAGAGTTTCACAGAGAAACCCAAAGGAAGAAGGGAAACTGAATAGCTGCTTATGCAAATATGTTATCACTATTAATGACTTTCAAGCATCACCTCCTCCCAGCACAAGACTAGCCAAGAGGAGGCTCAGGGGACAACTTATCAACATGCACAAATACTTGAAAGGGCGTTTTTCTCTTTCTTAAATATGCTTTCACAGAAGTGCTGCTGGCAGCATTGCTGGGCTGAGCCGTGGCTGTGCAGGGTCCGCTGGAGCTGGCTGGCACCACCCCTGCAGCCCCCCACTGCCAGCACCTCACCAGGGACACCCCATGCAGAGAGCTGCTCTGGTGAGGGCAGAACCCTTACCGTACCCGTGAAAGGGCAGGCAGGCGTGTGGAGCAAAGGGATTTGATACAAAAACTGCCTGCAGATGGGCTGGTTTCATGGAGCTCTGAGTAACGTGTACGCAGTTCAGATCAGAGAAAGTCTCGTACCTTGGGGCATGAAATGGTAATGTTTTGGAGGTCAGGAAAGAAGTCATCTTTGGTATAGTATGGTACAAAGATAGTTGCTACAGTTATCAGCATTTTTCATATTTATTTAGGTATTACTTAGATCTGATGGCAAATTTAAAACCTTCTTCTAGTTTTGCTTGATACTTTCTGAGGGTACTGTACTAGATGCACCAGAGATCTCTAATGCTGTGGTAGGACTAAGGTTTCAACAATAGTGCAGCCAAGCATAAAATATTGGACAAACCAAATTACTGATCTTGTTGATATCTTGATTCCTGTTCTTCTCTCCTTTCTCTTTGTGTCTCTGTAAACAGTGCGGCTTGAAGTCCGTCTTTGCAAAGGCCAGTAGGATAATTTATTTTCTAATGAACTCCATTCAGCTCAATTCTTCTGGAGATGTATTTTGTACAGACATGGCTGTATCAGAACAAAGCATGGGGCTTTGGGAAATGTGTTCTCTCTGTAACTCTGCATAAACTATCTGCAGAGAGAGCACAGATATGAAATAACGATGCTTGTTGTTTACCCTTTTCCTCTCCATCCTTGTATTTTCTAGCCGGGGACGTCTTGTCACTTGAAACTGTCTTGTTTTATGTAGGCATGCAGCTGGTCATGTACTCAGTGAAGGAAGCCCTCCAGGGCAGGCCTTGCTGGCTTCGGGCAGGCCATGATATCTGCTACTACAAGTAAGTACATTTTTGGTGAATAATTGGTGGCTTTCTTTCCCCTCTGTTCCTTTCCCGTTAACTGTATTGATGTTGTTAACCTCTGACCACCAGTGTCACCTATTTCATATGTCTCTAAATTGGTGCTAGTTCAATGTGTTATGTGCTTCCACCTTCGGAAAACAGCTACAAGTGAGATGTCTGTATTACATGCCTGGGGAGAAACAGGAGACGCGCAGAATTCATTTCCCCAGGAGGAGGGAGGAGGAAAGGGAATGGGGACTGCTCAAACCTTGCTGATGCAGGCCAGGAGTAGAAGGAAGCTTAACTCACAAAGGTAGTGTTAGGTGGCTTTTTCTCCTGTCCAGAAGAAATGACCTGGATGGGATCGTTGTTCTTCTTTTGCATACATCAACTTTTGTAAGAGATGTAGGAGCTAAGGAGCTTAAAGGGTTAGCACATACATAGGGGATGTGTGTATAGGTGAAAATAGACAGATACAAATACACCTTTATTTGTTTGTGAATCTATCTCTGTGCCTCAGTATCTTCACCAGCTTCCCTTCTCTGCGAAGCTGGAATTCAAATCCTAGAAGGCAAACTGCTTTGTGGACCACACTTACTGGCACCCCAGCACTGTTTATAAACCTTGTCCTATAGCAGAAACAGTAGAGGTGAGCCTTACTCACTGTCATATGGGAACTTCTGTCTTTCTACTGGGGCAGGCAACAGTGGTGTAAAGGAGTTCTGACAAGCTCAGGGCTGGTATTTATGGAAGTTCCCTGTTTCAGGCTGTTTCTGCAGTGTGTCAGAGCCTCAGAATAAAACCACTAGATCAGTCTAATCTTTAACTTATCTCTGAGCTGGAGCTTGACTCATGTAAGAAATATTTTCACCCAGGTATCTCATTTCCATGCAGAAAACTGATCCCTGTATCATTCCGGTTATTACAGTCAAAGGAGAGAAGTGTGGAGATTGGGGTTTCAGTAGGTTGAATAAACCCTGCTTTATTTTCTCAAGGCTTCCAGAATGTTATCCACAACATTTATTAACTATTTTAAAGATGATGATTGAAAGGGTTTTCAGGACTAGAATAATTGGTATGTTTTGCATTACAAAATCTGTGCAGAGTTGAAGGCTGAGGGACAGAACAGAAGAAGTAGGAAAATTACAGGTGTGAGTAAATATGTTCAGTCGAGTGCCTGTGAGTGGAACGTCTGGAAATGATGCAGCCTGGAAGAGGAACACTGCACTGCAAAAAAGAGGTCATACATTGAGGATGAACGGTTAGAGCATCATGGGTGAAGTCCACATACTTTGTAACCAAATACTGTGACATTTGGGGTTAGTTAACTATTTTATCCTGGCCTTACCTGTCACGACCTGAAAGCTGGGGCTGAGAATGCTTGAGTGACAAGTCTTCCCATTGTTTTTTTTTGCTGTTCTTCTAATTCATATATTGTTTTGTATCATGATTCCTATTCACTAATTTGCATCACCAAAATGTCTCAGGACTCTATGGGTACTGTATTAAGTGCTGTATAAACAAAACAAAAGTCCAGTCTTTGCCTCAAATGCTTGGCAGTTGGAGAACAGAGCTTGGGCTACCCAATGATTGCAGATGGGCAGGGAAATACAAAAAAACCAGAAATGTATTAACACAATTAACAATAATGATTGGCATGGTGAGTAGTGCTCTCTGGATTAGAGCTGAACTTTTCTGATGTTCTAAATGGTACTCCTTTCTTCATGAACTCATGTGCTGAGGCTGATTTTAGAAACTGATGTGAAATAATGGACTTTTTCTTTGTAAGAAATTGTATTTGGGTTGTAGTTCACAATTTTGCTGTTAAGGTTCAGAGGTGGTTATGTTCACAAGTGGATTTGATGAGACAATAAACTGAAATACTGTCAGTGGGCTACCTTCCAGAAGTAGCAGAGCCTCAAACTTGTGTTGATACCAAAAAGTTCCAAGTCATTCCAAATACCTATTGTAATCTCTTTAATTTATTTTTTTGTGGGAGAGAGTAGCTATTTTATTTTGTTCCAAATACTCTTCACTAACCTTTATTCACCTAACCTTTTCTATCTCAAGAGCTAACGTATCGTGGTGCAGTGGCTTCCCTTTGCATGCCTGTAACCTCTGACTTCTGTGAGTATTGGCATCTGGTTGGGAAAACTTAACATGCTCATTACCATAGCAGTGGCTTCTCGTGTCATTAACTAGGCAGTTATTGTGCAGTGATAAAACAGCAGCTGACTTCTGAGATTAAGCCATGATTGTACAATTAAGCTTGTAATCAGATTCTTGCTCAGAATAAGTGAGAGAATGCAGTTTATTGATTTGGAATATTCTGTGTTTTCTAACTGTACATTGAATTATATGTCAACAAATTCATCTAGGGTAACTACTTGTTGCCTGTCTCATTTATTGTTTATTCCAGGTTTATGCACGTTCTTGTATATACAAGAACGTGCATAAACATACATATATATGCACTTTTAACTCTACTGAAGCTCAAATCTTTTTGTTTCAGTGATTACAGGAGAGATTCCCAGTCATGAGAAGTTGTACTGTGGGGAGGGAATGTGAGGAAAGCATGTTTGAATTTGCTCAGACTTTGGCTCAGAATAGGAGGAGATGGGATTGCAATAGGGGTATCATGCTGCTTGTGTTGTGGGGAAAGCAGCTCACTTCATTTCCATTCACTCTGGTCACAGATATCCTGGGGTGGGACTGCCAGATTTTGAAGGGAACCTCATCTAGTTACTTTTACCAGGAGTTATTAATAAGTTTGGGAAAAGCGTTATATTTGCAAAAATAAGGAGGTACTCAAAGATGCCCTTAATTGCTTTTGCAATCTTGTTATTTTTTGCAAATTTGTTATTGAAAGCAACCTCTGAGCTGAGGGACAGTGGGAGGAAAGGCACATTTGCACGATGTCTGGGTGATGCACGTTGGCTGATCTTTGCTGACATTCATCGTCACTGACGATGGGATAGTTCACTCATAAAGATGAATGTTGTGGCACAGCTCTGTCATCGCACACCTCTCCCATATGTCTCACGAGAGTTTTTATGTTACGGGGAGTATTAGCAGTGCTCTTGTCAAAAGGCAGCTGAGTGACACTTCTGCTCTATTTTATTGCCTCTCTGTGAAGTGACAGGATACACCCGTGATAAACAGAGTTACTGTAAGATCATCTAATTCACTTGCTGTCTTGGCAGCTTTTATGTGCTGAATAATATTCCTTTCCGGCAAATTATTTAAGGAACAATGGCAGCATGCTGAATTGGCAACAATGCGCTTGTGCCTTTGGTTTCATGGCTCATTCTAAGCATATTATCTAACCTCCAGCTTTTCCAGACAATAGTCAGATCACAGATAGTAATGAGGTACATGGAGTGTTTTGTTCTCAGCTCGCCACTAAAGACTTGGCTGTTTGGTGATCATAGCAGTGTTAGAACTAGGTCTTCTCTCTTCCCTTCAGCATCTTTATAATCATATTAGATGAAATCATCTTCATAGCATTAGCAGGCCACCTCTCAGTTCTAATGATATCTACAAGGGAGGGCTGAGACACCGGTCTCAGTCTGAGAGCACCTGACCTTTACAATACGACTGAAAGCCTTAATAGTAAGATGTCTGTGGGAATATTCTGCTTTGACTGGGATTCTGCCTGTAATCTTGGCAATAAAGATGTCTCAGCATGGCTTTGGCCCTTGAAAAGGAAGTTGTGTTGTGCATTTTCCAGTTTCCAATGTCATAGATCCCAAAATAACAGCTATTCCTTGTAAATTGTTCAATACTGCTTTCTTCATGATATGAAGCAGGGTGTTACTGAAGCATATTGCACTTAGCAGCCATGCTTGGAGATGTAAGGTCAGGGCATGTAAAACGAGGACACCAGACTCCAGGCAGTAGAAGGATTTTGGACAAAGAAAATCCATCAGCAGATTAGAAGTGATAAATATTTTACTTTCCATTTGGACTCTGTTTTGAAATGACCTGGAAATCTCGAGTATTGATACTTTCTTTGACTGTTTTAGTCTAAGCTGGTACAATGCTGTATTCCATTACCTATCAGTGCTTTTTACTATACTAAATGCTTCAGACAGGAAGTCTAAAGAAGAGATGACCAAGAGGTGGTGTTCTTGTATCACTTGGTGCTTTTGAATTCCTGGGTTACAATCCAGCTCCTTTAGTGACCTGTCTATATCTTTGGCCAAGTGGCTTCACCTGTCTGTGTCTCAGTTTCCTTCTCTATAAAGGATGGAAAATTAGTCACTTACCTGTCACCCAAAGAATGGGAAGAGATAAATTGGAAGCAGGTTTTAATGAGATAGTGCTTGCAAAGGTCTTTTAAGCTAAAAAAATTATTGTTCAGAGTAAGTGATAAGTAGTATTATTATTATCTTTCCATCACAGCTATGCTAGAAATATACTACCTGTACATTGTTTCTGAAGGAGAACAGCAAACAAAATGATTTAACTATTATAAAGTGAATGAAAGGCACAGTAGCTACAGCTTGCATGCTGATTAAAAAACCCACACTGATCTCTTAGTATTAGTTTCTAGAAAGCATGTGAGACTTTGTGAACATTTTTTGAAAGAGAACACAAATAAGGTAGTGTGAGGATCAGATGTTGCTAGAGTCTTTTTTTCCTTCTCTCTTCCTTGCTTATTAATTGGGCTTCATGCTGGTATGGTAAAGTGTTGTGATGAAAAAGGTGGAGGAACAAGAAGGCAATAGAGTCATCTTGGGGTGACAGCAGTAGGAGAGGGAGGCAAGGAGGAAAAATGCTATTTTTTTAGGTTTCTTTTTAAAAGGGTCAGAGCTACTGCATTGTATGATGGATTGCAAGGAGACCAGATTATATGCAGTAGGAATACATGATCATTTACTTTTCTTACACACGGGTGGTTTTTCTTTTCAATGCATGAGGAAAGAATATTGAAGCCTCACAAAGCCACTTGTGAACTTCCTGATGCTACCAGATGGTTTGCTATAGATTGAAGTAGGTGTCAAGAAGTGATTCAAAGGTCAGAAATACCTGCTCTGGGCGAGCAGTTTTCTGGAACCGCAGAGGTGCTCAGAACAAGAATGAAACGTGCTGCTAAGCAGTTCAGCGAGCATGCTGTGCATCGGTGCCCTCAGGATCATGGCATCTGAGCACTGTCAGGAGTAAGGACCATTGACTCTCAGCATAGCATCAAGGTCAGAGGTGTCTGGTGGTGTAAAACCTCCGAGTTAAGTGGCATTTTAGACAGGAGAGAGATTTTTGGCTGCGCAATTACAGACTATAGAGGGAGAAGCCTTTACTGGAGCGTTATGGACAGGTGGGAATACTTTCCCTAATGTGTTTGTAAGATATTATTTAGGCAGCATCTGCCCACAAAGACCTGCTTCCTCCCACACCTCTGACTAAAAATGCGAATTTGGAGGTGAGGACTCAGAAGATCTCAGCACTTTGTGACAGTTCTTTATGAATAAGGTCATCTAACCATCCAAGTGACACTGAGTGTAATAGAGGCTATGGAGATGAGTAGTTTCTTTATGCACTATACAAGAAATGGTTCTTAATTATCCTTCACTGTCAAAATTAACAGTAACTAGGTTTAAATGTCATTGTGCTGACTTAAAAAGAAATCCTGGATCCACTGAAACACATATGTAATAGCTAAGTAGATGTTTCTATATTTGTGAGTTCATTACATTATTTTTTTTCCCCCCTCTGAGTCTCTTTGTCCAATATTAAGGTGGTTTATTTGCAAAAGAAATGTTGGGGTGAAGGGTTCAGCTGAGAATAAAATCAGAGGCTTTTCAGTTTGCCAGTGTGACTCAGTGTTCCTGTACTATCTATTGATCCAGTCAGTATCACTCACCCCACAGGTTCCTGACTATTAAATTCAGGTGAAAACCCAGCAGCATTGTATTGTGTCGTCTTTATGAAAAAGAGCTGATTATTTTGGAGAATTTGACAAGAATAATTATCTTTTCTCTCCACCCCTTTGAATAAAAATGAACAGCAGCAAAATAAACTAGTATTGTAAATTTCAGGAGCTGAAATTGCATCTTTTGGTTGCCTCTTCTATTTTGCATTTTAATGCAACATTGATGATAACATTTGTCAAAGAAACCTCACAGTTCTTCAGAATCCGAAGGTTCGGCAACAGCATAATTGGTGCAATGTGGGAAAAATATTGTTTGAAATGTATTTATGGATGCGATTTGCCGTGAGGCTTCTCCCTAAAGTGCATGAATTGTCTCTTCATCTCGGCTGAAAGAAAACTTTCTTACTCAGCCGAAAGTTATTTATCAGAGTAAGTCTCCTGCAAGGGAGCTGATGCTGGGACTAGATTGAGAAGCTCACTTTAAGGTGTTGGAGTTTTAATTAAAGGAGTGTGAAGGCCTGAGTGCACTAGTAGACCTTGATGACCCTGACCAGCCTACCCAGGGCCCCCACCCGCACCCTCTGCCCATGGGCCCAGGAGCTCTGTTTGAGCTCTCTCCTGGCCACTCAGTCCCTCTCTGAGCTCTGTTGTAGTGAGGCTTTGCTATGAACTCCGGTGATCTGGATCCTGACAGACCTCCTGGCTTGACCCAGGTCTGCTTCATCACCACAAGCTGGTCTGATGATCTGGATGTGTGGTTGAACATGTATGCACCCCACTAGCCTAGGCGTGACCTGCTCAGGTACTGTGGGAGGGGGCCCTGGCTGGTGAGGCCCCTGCTCTGCTGGCTTCCTTACCAAGCTCAGCTCCTTGTTTTTAGGGAGCAACTGGTCCTCACTGCTCCCTGACAGGGAGAGGCTCAAGTCTTCAAAAAGGAGGGATCCATAAGGATTTTTTGGGTAGCTTATAACCTGCAAATATGCATGAGGTTTCTACTCTGTGTGCAGTCTCTACTCAAACCAACTCTCCTGCTCAAGAAAAAACCTTCATGATATTTTAAATATTCTTGTGTCCCATTTATTTTCTTTTTTTAATTATTTCTAGAGTATCCCTTTTCTTCCTGTGGTGGAACCGAATGGTTGGTTTGGTAGGGTATTCATACTTTCTAAATCTCCAGGCTTTCACAGAATGCTTTCACATGGCATTGTTCAGGGCTGTGAATAGGTACCTGCATCTCTGAGCGAGGTAATTCAGATGTAGGAAGCAATACAGTGGTGTTAGCTGAATGCATTAGTTTGAATATGTCTGGACTGTGCTATGTGAACTAGTACCAGCTGGCTTCTTATTTGCACCTCCACAAAATGAAACTGTTATTTTCCTATGGGAGTGCTCTCATCCATCAGCGGCATGTGACTGGTTGTACCTAGTACTGCCACACGCAGTTCTGCCTCTTAACTCCCTGCCAGTCTTTGTGTACCATGTGGGTCCCAAGACACCCTTGAATCTGGTGTATCACCTCGGTCTACTTACCATCGTGATCCTGTTTCCATCTCTGTCTAGTGGAGCCATGGCTTCTCTAACCTTCCTTCTTTCGCGTAGCCTGGAGGTGTGTTGCTGGATGTTGTTTAGCACTGTGTTATATTTTTGTACCTATTCATTGTTGGGATTGGATTCATTGTACTTCTACAGGGATTTCCCAGTCTTGGTGCAATGACTGGTTGAGTATGGAGCCCACCTGCAGCGCGAGACAAACTCATTCGGAGTAGACACTTCTCTGAATGCTTAGTTCTTTCGTGGCTGCTCCAAACATGCACCTAGAAGCTATAACCGTCTACTTTCCTCTTTTTCCAGAAACCACTACTACTGCAGTGCAGCTGCAGGAGAAGGCATGAGAGGAAAATGCTACTACACGCTCACCTTCAGTATCAAATTCCCTCACAAAGATGATGTCTGCTATCTGGCCTACCATTATCCCTACACTTACTCCACAATGATGGTAATATTGATGTGTCCAACCAGATAAGCTTATTGGTCTGACGGTTTGGAGCTGCCTTGGGTATGAGATTTTGAGACAGTGTAGAGAAATTTCTGTATGGGATAATCTGGGGTACAAAGCACTAGTGCTTATACCAGTCAGAAGATAATGCAAACCAAAGATACCTCCGTTTGCCTGGAGTGAGAAACAGGTAGCTAAAGATAATGACAAGTCAGAAGTGAATGCTTGCCTGCTCCTCCTCCTGACAAGGTAACAGCTCAGCTTTCAGAGCTGCACCCAGCAGTGCCACAGTGCTGGACATCATTTGAATGCTTTGTCAGCTGTGACCTCTGTGCCAGCTGGAATGTCAGTAGGCATTTGTGACACTCCCACCAGTGCTGTCAGCACAGAAACTAAAAGAATACAAGTCTAAGGTGTAAATTGTATTATTGAGTTGTACCAAGTTTGCTTCCTGGGGAAGGATTTGTTTTCTACAGCCTTTTCTGGCCAGGGGTGGATGGTAAGGGAATTTTCTGGGAAATGCATCCAATGAGCTTTCTCTATGATTGATGTACGAGAGCCCAAGGTCTGAAAGGAAGGTAGGATAGAAGAAGGGAAATTAATAGGTTCGGAAGTAGCTTTGCTTTGCTGTTAAAAATGAGAAAGGTGTTATTGAAAAAGATGACACACAGTTCCGGTAGTTCTGTTCCCCTTCCTTTTCCCCCCAGTTTCCATTGCTAGCACTTTTTCTAGGCAATAAGTGTTGCTGTGGGTTGGTGAAGCTTGGACTTACTCTATTTTTTGCAATTATATCAGTTTGCTATTACGAAATATGAAAGACTATGCTTTCAAGGGAGACAATGTCCTCTCCCACTTACTAGCCATGCTGCTCCCACTCAAACAACAGTTTCTTGTCAACTGGTTTGCATCCCGTTATAAGATGTTCAAAGAAAATGCTTCCAATATCTGGGAGAGGGCCAGTCAAGCCTTCAGAGTCCAAGCTATGCTTGCCAGCTCACTTCTCATTAGGCTTATGGGTACCAGTTACTCCTCAAAATCAATGAGGAAGAGAGTATGCTGGTAGCAGGGTTTGACCTGTAGCCTTGAAGGCAAGTATGTACTACAGTCTCCAGGGGAAAAGACAAATGTGATACTGAAGAATTGGGTAGACTTATTCACCGCCATACTTTACAGAAATGCAGTGCCTCATCATTATTTTACTGTTATTGATTTCTAGCTTCTGCTGGCACAAAAGCAAGAGAGACTTGGAGAGTTCGTATGCTCTGGGGATCCCTGAGTATCTCACCTGCTCCTGAATGAATAGAATAGAGATGAAAAAGATGCTATTCCTAGATTTGCAGGGCCAAGTCTCGAAGTATTTCAGTACCTCTTCAAATAAAATGCTTATTGAAGTTCAAGGGAATTTTGTTCTAGGAAAAGTTTAAATGAACTCAGACTCAGAAAGGGCCATAAAGTTTGGTAAATGGGAATAATGGATGGAAAAGATTGATAGATTGTCATGTCCACCTCTTTAGCAAAAGCGAAATTGTTGCCTCTAATAATTCTAAAAAGCTTCTTTGCTTGGACCAGTTTAAAATGTTGAGTGATGCAATTTACATGTTTCTACGTTACTTTAATTTCCTCGATAAATAAAGCAAAGCAGGTTTGTGCACTAGCAGATTTCATTTTAAAGCATTTGTCCATTGGTGAAGTATGTTGGTTTTGCATATCAGTAGTAAATTAAAAGTGATTACGAACCCAAGGGCTCAATTAAATACATAGTGCTTTGGGGAAGAAGATAAACTTGTACGTTGAGTTAGTAATTTGAAAATGTTTTAAAATATCATATATATTTAATAGTTACAGACATATTTACAGGAAATACACATTGCAGAATCTTATTTGAACTGGATGCACTCTGCAGTTCATTACTTCTTGTCCATTAGTAATTACATTTATTTTATGAACAGTAATTTATCTATTTTTACATCACAGTGTTAATTGTTTGGATATCTAGCCGAAATCTCTGTGGCAGCTATACCCAATTAAGCTTCACTGGGAACCAGGAACATAAGTAAACGATTATATTGAGTTCTCTGTATCTATGCGAGATCGTCAGACGAGTCTAATAATTGAATTTACTTTATAGAGCAGTATGTTAATTGTTTTATGACATAAATGACTGTAAATTTCAGTTCTGTGTTTCCGTTCAAATGGATACTTGGAAAGCAGTCTGAAAGAGGGCGAGCTCTAAGGTTTGAGGAACAGGAATATCTTGCCCCATAAACGTTGATTAAAATTTAGCCCTGACTTGTAGAAACAAAATTTATCATATAAGGGTTGTTCAGTGAATTCGTGTGGTTTAGTTAAACTGCTGTTAGGACAAGCGTGTATGCTTTACTATACCTATTTCTACCAATTGAGAGACAAGTGGTGTTCCACAACACTTAGAAACACCCCGTGATGGGATTGCTTACACCCGTCTTGCCACTTGCAATTACAATGTAAACAGAGAGAACTACACGTCATCTGGTGTGTGGGTGGCAAGTGGCTATGTGTCTAATGAGGCAATCAGAATTTGTTCCAAAAAGTCATTTTTTTAAGCTGTTAGTTCTTTTTCTCAAATTTCTCAAGATGCTGTTGGACTTCAGAATTTTTTAAAACTGCCATAAACTTTGCAGGGCGGGGGGGAATAAAATTTCATTTTTAAATAACGACTTAGAAAGAACCTCTTTAAATTTCCCCCTACTGATTTTACAAAAACGTTGTTTCGATGTAAACTTTTTGACTGCCTCTGGTGTGGAGTTGTTCCTGAGCTTCACTGACGTATGATTGACAGCTAACCAGCCAGTTCTATAAATGCTTAAAAATGGCGAGTTTTCTCACATTTTTACACAGTCCCTATTGAAACTTAAGGAGTAGGTAGTTCTCTTTCGGACTTCATGTATGCATAGAAATTTCTTTACACTAATAAGAAAAGCACGTAGGAACTGTTTAGATAGATCATAGAATAGTTTAGGTTGGAAGGGGCTTTTAAAGGTCATCTAGTCCAACCTCCCAGCAAGTAGCAGAGACATCTTCAACTAGGTTGTGATATAAGAGTAAATAGTCCTGTGCAGCTTCAGTGAACTGGGATGTATTCTGAATGGGTTGTGCATGTTTGTGAGATGTAAAAGGTGATGATGCTAACTGGCAGGAGAGAGAAGCTGGGAAGTTAGCAAGAGATGAAATTAGTAACAATAATAACATACAGCTAGTGGAATAAAATCAGATTTTATAGACCGTGAACTCATTTATAAATCTGCTTCCTCGCTTCTTTCTCAGTCCCATCTTGATATCCTGGAACAAAATAGGAACCCCAAGAAGGTTTACTGGAGGCATCAGACGCTCTGCCAGACGCTAGGAGGAAACCCATGCCCATTGCTCACGATCACTGCTATGCCAGAATCTAAAAAAAGAGACCACTTGGAGCAGTTCTGTAAGTAGCCAAATGAAGCATTAAAAAAGATGCTGGCGACTTGTGGTCATGTCAGCAGTGGCAATGACAACCTGTTTTGTGAATATGTTGATTTTCTTGCCTTTCTCACATTGGAAAAAGAAATCTAAATACCAGGAATATCCAATTACAATGCTTTTTGAAACTGCAGATTTACATGGAAGAGAGAGGAGAGCTGACACCATTTTTTACTTCAAATTTTTCTTTAATGATCTGAAACAATCACTAAGTTCAATATCAAATATATCCCATAGCAAGAAATTGCATTCAAATAATTAGTTTAAAGAGAAATTTTAATTATTTTATTTGGTTGATGTTCCAAATTGAAATGATTTATTTAGTTTGAGGTCTCAAACTTGGG